TGTTCAATTTACTCGTAATTAAAGGCAAAGACTAGATGAGTCCTATTGAGGGACTCTAAAAATATGCTGATTATTGATTCAGTAGTCTTTCTGGTCCGTTGTGTATTTCAGTCAATGAAATAGCCAATATGTGCTATTGACCGGATGGGCTTTAATAGACCTTTTAGAAACCACCTTGTCTTTTTCATGTAATAGGCATTTGGCAACATTTTAAAATGCTCACTCAATAGATTTTTTTTAAATGCATTTCACTTTTTTCATGTGTTCCTTGTTTAATTCAAATGCGCATCTGACATGAAAGCTAAAGATAAAAGTGTGACATAGCACAATTAGTTTCTGTGAAGTCTGCAGAACTTTAATGGAACCCATCTCTTCCCTATACACAACTAGCAAAATACAGGCCGTTTTTACCTGTTTATGTCACACATTACAAGCCTCAATTGAGTGCTTGTGTGCACCTTCACTCGCATACACAGACTTGTATTTGATAATGTTGGAAAGAATTACGCTTTCCAAATAAGCAAAGCACTAGTTTCCAAAATAGTCAGATCCAGGTGACACTCATACTAGTCATTAGCAAGAAAAACAACCCAGAATGTAGATCAGAGATCAGTAATACAATCAACATCAGGAACTTTTGTAAACTGCTTTCCCCCTTATCTGTCTAGTATTGTCTAAATTGTGCCTCATTAGTGCATGTTGTGATTGCACACCTACTAATCTATAGCTGTTTCTGAGCAAATAAATACAAACTTAGGAGTACCATTTAAAAGCGATGTGCTGGACTTGTGCATAAATCCACTGAGCCATTAAGAAACAGGATTTATGAGCATGCTTTGAGAAAATTTAGTCTTAAAAAAATGCTAACAATTTGCTGAAGCAGAACTGATTGATTGATTTGTTGGTAAGAAACCAGCAGGGGCCTTCCCATCATGCTTGTTTTATTGGTTCTTTTGGCCCTAGTATCTTTCCTAAATTTCATTGTTATATTTAATAAATATTAAGTTATATATAATAAATATTTAGAGCTGTGGTTCTGAACCTTTTTGGACTCAAGGCACCCCTCCGTAACTTCTGTGAATTGAGCAGCACTTATTTCTTCTCACCTGATGGCATCCTTTAAAGGCTGGGCCTTGACTGAGAATCACTGACTTAGACTTAGGCTCAAACTATAGGGATTGGATCCAGATACAAATATAAACTTACTAAATTTCCAAACGTGTCTACAGTAGGTGCTCAGGTTGGATTTGTTGTAGAGCTCTGAAGTTTGGAGCTAAATTTTTCCAAAATTTGACGCGGGGTTTAGCCATTCTCATCCCACTTCTATACATACGATACTTGGATTCTGTTGTAATTTTGACAGAGACCTGGCTTTGTCTCTTTCAGGGCACTGATATCATTTTGTCACACATATACAGTAGAGACTGTGTGTGTGTATATGTGTGTGTGTGTGTGTGTATGTATGTGTGTGTATATATATAGATAGATACTCTACTGTTTGCTTTCAAGCAATTTGGGGAGTGTGATAAAGCTTGTACTGATAAGATGGTGATTACTGCATTGCATCGTATACAAAACAGCAGTGCCCAGAACTTACTTTTTAAAACATTTCATAAGCCCCTGGAGATGCAACAAAGAAACACAGTTCACCTGCCAGAGATGCATAGTAGTATACAGAAATCATAGCAAAAGTAGGTCTGCGAGGATCTCAGCAAGTTCTCTACTCCAAACCCATGCTCAAGGCAGGATCTTGCCTGACTAACCGATCCCAGTTAGATGTTTCCCTTATGGGGGTGCAGAAGTGATTAGCCATGTTAGTCTGAAGTCAGGCAGAAGGCAGGACAGGATAGTGCTTTAGAGACCGACTGGTTGAAAGAAGCAGCAATCCATGGTATCAGACAGGGGTGGCAACTGACTTGTGAATTTTTTTGGAAACTCTTCTGCCTCCACCCCCATTATTCATTCACTGTCCTGTTTAAAATGCCCAATACTGGGCATTGCATCTTCTGGTAAATTATGTTGTCATAGGGGATAAATATCAGGGGTGCTAGGGAATGTATTCCACCTACCGTACAGACAAAGAATGGAGTTGGTTCACTTCTCCCTCTCACTAGCTTTTACTCCTGTTGAGGGGAGACTGCACCAGTAAGACTGGAGGGCAGGGCTGCGGTGCTCAGTGCAGTGCTGTTGTTACTTCTCCTATGTCCCCCACCCCCTGTGCAAAGAGGATCCAAATTCTTTTGTCAAACGGCTTAGCTGCATCTAGAGGAATCTCTCACAGCATAGCTAATAAAAAAAAATATCCCTCCCCTGTAAAAGAAATCACATGCATTTTGCTATGGATTTTTTTTACTTGAACCACAGGAAAAGTTCAATACAGAAAAAAAACTGTTGCAAGGTTTCAGGTTGGGGTGCGGGTGATGGCAGGTCACCCCTGCTGGTGACATTCGCAGAGGAGCGGCATGTCTTCTGGGATGCCAAAATGCAGGTCAGCTCCCACATGAAGGGTATGGTCTTTTGGGCACAACCAGACCAATGATTGAACTTAGTCATGGCCACCCTCTGTGTCCACAAGACTTTGGCCTTCACGTGGCACTGCCACACCATCCAGGAGGTGACCTCACATGTGCATCCCCCCAGATATGGCTTCATAAATGTGGGCATTCAAGTGCCCGCCCCACACGAACGGCCTCTAGACATCAACTCTGCCCTGTAGTGCCACAAGGTTGTGTAGCCTGGGTTCTCAGCATGGGTGTGGGCAAGTGGGCAGAGCCAGAGCTCAGTGGGGACAATGTGCTGTACATGCTCCCCACACCAGCTCTCTGTGCCCCTGTGTGGCTGTCCCTGAGATGCTGGCCCTGGAGGGCTGCCAGCAGCACCCTGAACAGGGGCATGAGCAGGGATCGTGAGCTGCGCAGCAAAGGCGCTTCACCACAGTGCTTGCAAAGAGATAAGAGCTGGGGGTGAGGAGCAGCAGGGAGCAGGTGCTGGTCCTGCTGCCATAGAGAGCAGGGTCAGCAGCTCTGGGGGGGATCTCAGGGCTGGACAAGGGATGCACCAGTCCCAAGGAGCAGCTCCAACACTCACGTGTCCCAAGGAGCAGCTCCAGCTAGGGGACAGGACAGTCAGAAGCTGCCTGGATCCTGTCCAGGGAGGCACACAGGGCCTGATGGGTTCCTGCAGGCAACACTGGCTCCTTCAGGCTGCTTGTGCTGTGTGCCCCAAGGCACAAAATAGGGAGGCTTTTATAGCCTGTAGCTAGGGGCTGCCAGAGAGCAGTCCAGCCCCGGAGGAGGAGAGGCGACAAGGCAGGAGCCCTGGGGCTTGCTCTGGCTGGCCTCCTCAGTGGGTGGGCAGGCCCAGCACTAAAGTCCCTGTGTTAATGTGCATTAACACATCTACATGTGCGTTAATGCACTTTAACTAATTGCGCCTAAATTTGATACTTGCTTTATGCATATATCAAGTGTAGCATAAAATCACCGTTTTTAAGATGCATTAAGGGCACGCACATATAGACACACGCTCTTAATATGCCTTAAATCAGGCTAGTGCACATTAAATGCCCAAGTGTAGATACGCCTTCTGGCTCCTGGGTCCCCAGAGCTTGAGAATGAAGGGTTATGGGGGAAAGGGTACCTGGGAAGTAAGAGTAGTTAAAAGAAGCTGCAAGAGGGGAGGAAGGGAATGATGAAGGAAATGGAGGAAGTGGGGATGGGCACAAAATAGAGTAGGGAGGTAGGCAAGAGAAATGAAGAGTCAGAGAACAGTGGAGGGGAACAGCTTGAATGGAAGTGTTAGCCGGGGGTGGAGTGGAGGAAGATAAATATTCTCCCTTCACCCAAGTTAAGTGGATGGTTTTTGGATAAAGGAAGAAATGCAGAGGGACTCTGTGTAGGAGCTGCTATATTTTGAGGGAAGAGCAGTGGGCCAGTTGGGGCATGTGACCAAGGGAAATTAAGGTGCAGCAGAGAGCAATGGGATTGGCAATGCTGACAGGACTTTCACTGGTGCAGGAGGGCCAAGCTCCTCTGTAGAAATAGCCTTTCTACCTTCAGCCTCAGGGCAACGAGTAGACATTCAGGCAGACGGATCTCATGTTCCTCAGTGTTTTAAACCTTGATGCTCATTCCCTGCCTCCTGGACAGCCAAGTCCACTTTAGTTTTATGGATTCAAGTACCAATAAAAACTTTTACTCTTACAGTGATATAATAGGCTGATGTACTAGTTAGCTTGGACCCACTGCAGTGTTGTAGTTTTCTACAGAGCTTTTTTTTGCACCCGGGATATTGGCTTTTTGGAAAAATGCTGTAAAACAGAAGAGGTGTTTCACTGAATGTTTTATCCCATGTGACTGTTCATACAGAACTGTCTTTTTGATTGTTCCCCCTTCATGATTAGCAAGGCCTGATCTTTTCCCTGTTTACACTTATTTTAACAACTCTGAGGAGCTGCCAGTCTATTTGCTTCAACAGCAGATGACTGTTACACAGCTTTATTTTTTTAACTGGTGTTCAATTTTAGGTGTTTCCAGACAGTAAATACTAAGACTTCTATTCTACTGTAATTTGTCGTACAGTTGTAAATACGTCTTTCTCTTTTCTCTTACTTACTGCTAAATAAAAACTCACTTTTTTAAGGAGGCTGAGCAAACAGAAAATTGTCCCATTTTTATACACACTGTGATTCTCTAAATAGATATTATTATGGCAAAAAGAAAATGGGTGGGGGGAAGAATGCAAAGCAATTTATTGCTGAAAAAGGTGGAGCTTTTAATGGCAGTTCTCTGAAGTTTCCAGAGAGATTTTTTTAAACGCTGTGTATTGCTTTACTGACATATAGTGCAAACCTGGGGAAGAAAAAAAATGGTATTTAAAGGTCTTCAGATACAGTCTTAGGCTGCAACACCACCACCAAAAAGCTACCAGCTGTCTGACACAATAATTATTCCATCTATTCTAAACATTTTTATTCTACAATTTGTCTTTTTCTCTGGTAGACACCTTGCATTTCCAAGACTGAAAATCAGCCTCAAGGACTTGCAACTAGTGTTAGGTGGGGACAGACACCCATCAATCAGTCTACACCCTGGGACACAGATGAACCACCATCTAAACAGATGAGGGAGAATGAAAACCCAGGTATGTTTTCAATCTCATTTGTAATTCTACAAGGGAAAATCATTGAAAGCAAAATTCAATACACTATCTCCAATTACCTCTCTAAATTAGACTTTATTGTGAGTCTTTTTTGTGCTGTAGCTGGATTTTTCTCTCATTGTGAAGACCCCCTCAAGTTTCTACTATACCAGGGCTAATATAAATGTATTAAGATGCCTGCAAGTTCATTAAAGTGTTTTTTCACCTTCTCTGCCTTCACCAGAATAAAAGGCACTGTGTAATACTTTAAGACCTCTTTTATGTCCAGAACTACCTGAAATGATTTCCAGCTTCCAGACACATATCATACATTGTGTTGCTATGCCAGACGCCTAATTACAATCTCTTTGTAGTGGCTGGAGCACCATTATTATATACGCAGAGTGTTTGTCAGGGAGCCATGAAAGCACGGTGGGGAAAGAGGTTAATTTTCTTGGAAGCATGTACTTAAGCTGCGTAAAGCACAAAATACATAAAATTGTAAACATGTGGCATGTCACCTGATGAGTATTTTAACAATTGCACTCACATCATTGTAGCAATTTTAGGCACTTATCAGTTTGGAATAGTTCCAGATCCTGTGCTACTTTATGTATTGTAAAGAAAAAGAGACTATAGAGTCCATTAAAAGGTTCCAGTATGGGCAGCATTTACATAAAGAGAAAGTTTGGGGTTTTTTTGCCAAGATGGTTTGTATTGCTAGCTTTCCTTTTCCCCCTTGTGCTCCAGGTACAGCGCCGTGGGTGACAACAGTCGCAGCAGGTAGCCAGCCAACTCTTATAACGCATTCGTATGGAATGACTCAACCTCCAACCTTCAGCCCAGCAGTGAACGTCCAGGCCCCCGTCATTGGAGTTACACCCTCCCTCCCTCCTCACGTTACCCCCCAGCTTCCATTAATGCCAGCTCATTACCAGCTACAACAGCAGCCTTCACAGCCTCTGAGTAACATGGTTGTGAACCTGCAAAGCCAGCCTCTCTACACTAACAGCCAGCCAATCACCATGTCTTCTATGACTGGGGTTGGTCAGGTGACTCATCCAGGCCACACCGCAGTAGGGAATGGTCACATGACTTGCCCTATTCTGCCACCACCTCCACCTGCTCTGCCTTCGGCTGCCCTACCCAATAGTGTTCCAGCCACCAATGGGCAGGCTGCTCCTCAGCCTCCTCCCAACCAGACGGGCAGTCAGGACAACACAAATGGGGTACAAATGCTACGGACTATTGGCGTAGGAAAGTACGAGTTCACAGATCCTTGGCATCCAAAAGGTAAGTCAGGCTGGACTTCTTAATGTTGTTTTTGGTACGTGGTACCATAGTGCACGCGCTCTCAGGAATGAATTGGGTCAAGTGTGCCAAAAAGCAGTAAAAGCAACAGCCTTTCCCGTGAAAGCAGCTTTGCTGTTGATGTACGTGTGCCAACACTCCCGCATACGTTTTCTGCCTTGTGTTCTGCACTAGCTTTTATGAATTAAAGATGACAAAACCGATTCTTAAGAGGAGGAGAAAGAAAAGCCATGGACTTCTTTTAGTGTTGAATGACATCTTTTAGGGTCCATCAAATGAGCTAGTATTCCACATCTCAAAACACATGAGGCAGCTGTTGCTATGTGCCTTTTTTAGTTTCTATGATTTCTTTTGAGGTGCAGTTTATTTATTTATAAGTCAGACCACTTTCCTTGGCTTCAGTTGTGCCTTAGTTCAAGCACTGTAAATTTGTTTTTTTTTTTTACCCATCTTCTCCCCACTCGCCTCACTGGGAATCAAAACAGGTTAAAATAAAATTATTGACTAACACCAAGAGAAAGCCAAGAAGTTCAGTTAAAGGTGAAACTCTGTGTTATCCACTTCATTTGGCTCAAGTGTGGCAACAGACTGTGAACAGTGGATCTGACCTCCTCAAAAGTTGATCTTTGCTCAAAAGCACTTGCTAAAAGATACACAATATTTAGTTTCAATGAAATGTTACGGTTGGAGGCCCTTGAATATTTTTATAATCTAGTCTGTATGGGCTCTTAGTTTTTATTTCACTTTTAAGGTTTGCCCACCCTATTTTAAAGATCATAAATGTCCCACATGTGAAGCTGAAGTAAAAGGTAGCTTGACAACATATAAACATAAGTAGGCCTGTCAGCAAAATTTATTAAAATGGTTAAAAAAAAAAAAAGACCACAAAGACTCCATTAGGTTTATAATATAATATACAGATTAGTATTTGCATGAAACTTATTTACTCACTCAAGCTATTCAGGTCTGTTATGTAGACCTGTGTTAAGGCCAAAGGATCTCTCTATAAAAAAAAAAAAAAAAGAAACCGATTAGCCCAATAATTCTTACTGCTTATTGTATAAATTGTATTTTGGCATGTGCAAACCCTTACCAAATGTCTCTTGAAAAGAAATTAAGGAATACACTTAGCAGTCATTTTCCAAAGCAAAATATTTGGACGACTCTCCAGTTTTTTGATCCAACTATCAAGTGTAATTAAACCTCATTGCAAGTTTGGCCTTCTGAATTTTCATTTCCTTTAAAATGTTAAGTTGCCTTTGAGTGAAATGAGAAGAAGCAAGGAGCTAAAAAATGGTAAAGAGGTGTGTTAAGTTTGTTTCTGTCAATCCTTTCCCTTTTCACAAATAACCATTTAAACCAAGACCTTGTCTGCCAAGTTGTTTACAGGTTATAAATCCTGGTGGGAAAGGGGCTTACAGAAAACACCTGGGAGACTCAGCTGTAGAGGTGCTAGTAGATGCGTTGAGCTTAAGCTGAAGCTATTCCTTTTATAGAGCAAAGGTTCCCAACCTTTGTGGCCATCTCTATCAGTGTGTTCGACTAAGACTAATCCATCAGCATACTTAAAACACGTGCCTGTCTGGAAGCATTTGAGTAGTCTGATTGTAGCCAATGAGTTGACTTACATGCTTAAAATTAGGCACAGGTTTACAGTTTTTCCCTAATCAGGTCCCATAAATTCAGCCCTATCAGCTGTTGCCTACCATTCCCAAACAACTGTGGCACTTACTTGTAGGATACCTTTGGCTGCAAGATGATACAAACTCCAAACCTTAATATAACCTAACAGGGAAAAATACTTTTGTCATGGCAAGCTTTTAATATTTGTTTATCAAAGCCTTGGGATCACCATAGGGTATGTGGGGTGCTCTAAAGGCCAGTCTTTGCCCCTTTAAATGTCAGATTCAGAACAGTGTAAGCTCCATGATGTATGCAGAATTGTGACACGTGAACCGGAGGGTTGGAAGCAGTGGGACATTAGACTCAGCCAAAAACATAAGAGCCACGGTGAGAAGAAGGCACGTAGAAGCCAGTCGCGTGAAGCAAGTCTTTCTACCCATTTGATTCATGGGAATCTTTGTTCCCAGGACAAGTTGAGAAGCAGAATACTGAAACGAGTGGTAAATCTAAACAGTGACAACTGCTGACACATTAACCATGTTATCTTTCATAAATTGTAGGCTAGACAGCTGTTTTCCCAGGAATTAGATTTAACTGGCTTCTCTATTTATGGTCATCAGCAGCTGATTTATTCTCCTTTTTTAATGGTAAAAAGAGACAATGAAGCATGCATACAGAAATACCTCATAAGCAGAGCTTGTTGTACAGGGAAGAAATAATTTCTTCCTCCATTTCTAATCTTAAAAGGATTTACTTCTTCAGCTATAATTTAGCTTGTCAAATGTAGTGTCAAACAAGCACATACATTATTTACTTTTATCCCAAAAATACATTTTAAAAAATTAAAAAAGAGAAAGGGGCAAGAGGTAGAAGAAAAGTGAGTTTGGAAACCAGACCTTAAAATCTTGCCATGTTAGAACAGGGATCTTAATATAAACCACATGAGTTTGAATGTGAGTCATTTTTTAAATATTTTTTGTTTTAATTTCTCCCTTAAGGGATTCAAGCTCTAAAGCCCAATTGATTTCACACTCTTACATGATAGACAGATTGCTCTCAGGAAAGGGATAGAAGCACAATGTGTTGGTATCAAGCTGTTCAAACATATAAGTCAAATCTGGTTCCTTAACTTCTTTTTTTTTTTTTAAGATGTGCTCTCTCTTTTTGGGGAACCTTGGCCAGCATTATAATAAGATCTGCTACTGACAGCAGTGAGATCTATCTCATTAATTTGTGAGATATTCTCTTTTATTGTTTGACTTGACAGTCCCTTCTTGCACAGGTTTGAGTAATCACACAACGATCCCCTAAGTGAAAGAACAGGTCTTGCCAGTCAGAACGATGGGGTTACTTATATTTTTAGACTTCATTAGTGAACTGATTTGAAATTTCACATTTTGTTTCCCATAATTATGTTTCATTTGGCTGAGTTGTATTCCTGAAGGGGTTGTATTAGAATGCACTCACTCGACACAGTGTTTTTTAATTGGCTACTTTAAATAAAAGTAAACAAATAAATTACAAAAAGGATAGGCATTGCTAATATGCCGCTTCATTTGCAATAGGTCAAGTTATCATCTCTCACATGTTACTGGAGAAGGAAACTCATTTGTGTGGCTTTGGGAATGTTATATTTAAATAACAAGAAGTGTTATGTTACATACAACAGATTTCTTTTATATTTACAGTTTACAGGCCCAGTCGGGTAGTATTACCCACGCAAATGCTCCCTTTAATTTCAAAGGGTCTTGTTTTCATAAAGGCTTGCCCACATGGGGCTAGAGTTACAGGAATTAAATATTTTCTTTTCTGGATGGGCAAGATTCTATGATTATTTGGTTTATTATACCATATATAAATTTGCCAATTCTAGCATCATCAGTCAAATGGATTTCATATATCCAAGTCATAGGAGGAGTAAAAAGTATTTAAAGTGGTAATGTCTTTTAGCATTGCTCATGCAGAATTGTGTCACTGCATTTTCTGAAAAACTTGGGGTCTGTTATCATACATGACCAACAGTAATTGGTTTGGACAGTAGCTGCCCTTGGGGTAGATTTACAGTAAATATTCCTAGCTGTCTTCTAAAGCCACGTCATGATAATACAGAAATATACCATTATTATTCTAGAAAAGAAATAGCTTTTGCACTCTGTGCCTCTTCCAAGTCCTATTCTGTCATGCAAAGATTCCATGGGAATTAGAGAGGAAGCATATTCAGTACTCTGCAGTGGGAATCTGCTAAAGCTCACATCAGATTTGTGAAGAATATAAAATTATAGTGCGTCAAGGAGATGTTCAAGGACAGTTTCAGCATTGCCAGCCTAGGTTCTCATTTGCCCAGTTTGCCTGACCGGAGGAGCTGAAACTCAAAAAAAGGAATCCTACAAAAAGTGGAAGCTTGGTCACATTAGCATGGGCATTCAGGGAAAGTATTAGGAAGGCCAATGCATGAATTAAGAAGCAACCAGCAAGGGGCATAAAAACCAATAAAAAGGGTTTTTACAAATATGTCAAAAATGAGAGGACGATTTTTCTATCTGGAAAAATCATGGAGCAGGTCCTAAGGAATCTCTTGTGCAGCACCTAGAGGAGAATAAATCAATTGGGAACAGCCGGCATGGAGTCACCAAGAGAGAGTCTTACCTGACCAACCTGATTTCCTTCTCTGGTAAGGTGACAGGCTCTGTGGATGGGGTAGAGGAGTGGATGAGACATACCACTGTCCTACAACATTCTCATTAACAAACTAAGGAAAGAAACTGGACAAAAGTATTGTAACATGGATATGTAACTGGTTCAATAGTCATACTCAACAAATAGTCATCAGTGGCTCATTGTCTAGTTGGGAGGATGTATTAAGTGGGGCTTTCCTGGTGAATGTCTTGGTCCAGTATTGTTTAATATCTTCAGTAATGATTTGAACAAAGGGATTGAGTTAATACTTCACAGATGTGTGGATGACACCAAATTAGACAGTCGCAGGTATGCCAGAGGGTAGGGCTAGAATCCAGAATCACTTGAACAAACGGGAGAAATTATCTGCAGCCAGTCAGATGAATTTCAACAAGGACAAGTGCAAAGTCCTGCACTTGGGACAGAATAATTGCTTGCACAAATACAGACTGGAGAATGACTGGCTAGGCTGCAGTATTGCAGAAAAGACCTGTGGGTTACAGTGGACCATAAACTGAATATAAGCCAACAGTGTGCTTTAGTTGGAAAAAAAGGCCAATAGCAAACTGAGGGTCACTTGCAAATCAAGGAAAGTGATTCTTTTTCTCTATTCACCTAGACTACTGTCCCACACTTCGACAAGGATGTATCTTCAAATATCTGAAGGGTGATTACAGAGAGGA